AGTATATTATTTGGTGAAAAACAAATGGTTTGTAGAAACTAAATAACCCCGAACTATTGCTATGACATCTGCGAACATTCTTCATGTACCCACCTGGCTAAACTACAAAGTACAAAAAAATAAAAAATTCAAACGCTGTACTTGGCAAAGTTACTTAGCGCAGAAAATGACTTAAGGAAAAAATACCACAATACAATATTAGAGCCAGCTGAAGATTTGAGACAGGCTGCAAGAAAGCGTAGACAGTTTCATTTGTTAGACTTTCCACTGTAAAGCTTTGCTTCAAATCGACTTCAAACGACTGGAGAAATCCTGAGACCTGTTGCTTGTAAATTGTTAGAGGGAGAGGGTCATTTTTAAAAAATTAGGCAATTTAGAATAGCAAACACAAAATGAGCATGACATGCTCATTTTTAATTACATGCGGTATTCAGCAGGATGTTGTTCTTGAAGGATTTTTCAAAGTTAAGAACAACATCTTGCTGTGTTAACATCCAATAAATTGCTGTATTTTGGCGTTCCAGAAAAAAAATACATGATGTTTGAGAAACCTAGAATCCAGCTAGTTGTTGTTCCAACTTTGCCTCTTGATGATTTTATCACTGAGCAAAGTTATCTTCTCTTTTTTTTCTAGAAATCACAAAGAAAGAGCTTTTGCTGATGAACGGCTTGCGAAAGTTAGAAACCCCCTAAGTTATTTGTCAAGTTCTTTGCTTGTGCAAATAAGCTTATAAGATTGGGCAGAACGTCACATAAAGCTGATCTAAGACTTTATTTGAAGGACACATAACGAGGATACACTTCAAGATATTCTTCAGGTAATTATTAAACATTATTATACAGACCTGTTGCGCGTAAATTGTTAGAGGGAGAGGGTCTTTTTTGAAAAATTAGGCAATTTAGAATAGCAAACATATATCATGCTCATTTTTAATAACAAAAAAAAGAAGTCAATTGCACCTTACAATTTACACCTAACAACCCTTATCCCACTCAATGTACGCGCGTGCTATACAATGATGTCCGTAAAACTTTTTAAGGTTTTCTCATATCATTTTGTTTAACAAACTAAACTATTAATTTCAAATACTTGTAATTATGCTTGAATTAGACAGCATGTATCCAAGAAAGATACAAAGAAGTACCTACAGAACATCTAATAAGTATCAGAACCGTCATCACGTTTTTGTTGCTTTTCAACTCAAGTTGGAACTATTATCTTAAATAAAATTGTCACACAAAATCTCTTCCTTATTCTATTAGAAACATTTTAAATCAAAACGAGTGTTTCGTGTTTCAAACTTAAAACTATCTCTACTTGGAACTTTAAAATATAATATTCAGGAAAAATTCTATTATATAGAAATTGTCTAAAACCACCTTCTTTACATTTGAGTTGATTTGGGAGACTAAAATTTTCACTATGAGCTACTAATACATTATGATAACGATTGAACTTTTCCACATTTTGATTTTCAATAAAAATTTTTTGAGACACCCTACCAGGTGTCCTACCACCCTACCACCAACCTTGTTTTTATTTTGTCAAATGATGCGTCAACAGAAATAAATTTTTTAAGTATTATCTTTTCAAGAGGAACTCTTTTTTATTACTGTCGTCGTGGTTATGATAAATTGAAATTCATATTCATCATTCAAAAGATTTGATGAAATATGAATGAATCTTTATTGCAAAGACCGAATAAGTCAATCTAGTTAACAGAATCAATCAAATCAAAACTTTCGTCATGTAGGGTAGAGCGGGGGATATCGGGATAGGGGGAATAACGGGACAATTACGTCTGAAGCTTTATATCTTAGCTAAAAACTTTTTTTTTCCAAAATTTTTTTTAATAAAATATTTTAAATTATTGTGCTTCATTATTGTGAAAAAAAAATAATTTTAGAAGTACCGAAATGCATTAAAAGTACCGAAATGCATCAGTAAGTTTGCGAAAAACAAATTTTGCATATTTTTTTAAGCGATACAACGACAAAAAATTTATCTTGAACTATTGAAAATTTGCTTTATTTAAATAAAGTTTATATTTTTCAGACAGTGTTTTTGTCCTCTTTTAAAATCTCGTTTTAAAAAAATAACTGGAATTGAACTTTTTGAATAGTTTTAATTTCGGTAAAATGTCTTTTGTGGGGCATATCGGGACAACAAGTTATTTATATAATTGACTATACTACGACCATTTTGTTTACAGTTTGATGATTTTATTTTTAATTTAAAATATTATTTTTATTATTTAGAAAAGCAATACTAGTTATAAATTGAGAAAAAGAAGTTGTTATTTTTATAACTTAACTTCTATTATTAATAGTGTTAAATGTAAACAACGATGATAAGAAATTATATAAGAAAGATCAATCATTCAAAATGGGATGAAATGCAGATTTAGCTGTGAATAAAAAGGAACTTAGAATTCGAAAAGCTGCTGATACATATGGTATATTTAAAATTGCTCTACGTTGGCATATTGCTAATAAGCCAGCTTATCAAAAATGTTACCAAATAGTTTCAGGATATTTTTGTGTGATTTTTGTGATCCTTAATATTTTTTGTTTAATTTTAAACTTATTAGTAGTTACCAATTTAATAATATATTCTAGTTTTGCCCTACTTGAATTTTAAAAATTTTTTTAAGTTTGTTTGTTTAAGAGTATTTTATAATAAAACACAAAATGTTTATTTTTATTTTTTTGTTATTTCTTTTGTGGTGTATGGGTGTGTGGGCGTGTAGTTTATACAAGTGTGTTACTTTTTTGAGATTTTAATGTCTGAACATGTTTAAATGATAAAATCCCTTCATTTTTTATAACTTTTAAAGCTTTACAGTTAACAAACAACTGCTGCTTTTTAACTGTCCTGCTTTGCCCTACCAATTTTGTTACTTTAGTTATCTTAGCTTATTCTTAAATTTTTTTTGTTTTGTTTTTCCGTTTTCTTATATCAATGAATTTTAAGAAACATAAAAAACAGCGTTAATTATCCGCAACTAGCATTTGTTTCTAAGTGCCCCCTATATATCCCACTCTATCCTATCACTTTTTTTTTTTTTTAATCTTTCTTTTTTGCTTTCTGTATGCAGCACCAGTTTTTTTCAAGCGCTCTATCTTAATGAGTAAAACATTTTAAAAAAATGTAAATAAAGTACAACTAAAATAAAAGAAATATTTCGCATTTTTTTTATTGAGTTACTGTTAATTAGCAAAAAATCTTTTTTTTTTAAGTTCATTAGTTATGTTCTATTTTGACTTATTTAAGTTTTTACTTTTTGTTTTTAATTTACGTTGGAAAAAAACAACCGCAATCATTTGATGATTTTTAAAACAACCCTTAAGGGTTGTTTTAAAATAACAGTGGGGAAGCAAGCTTGCTACGTCACAGTTAACAAATAAATAATTTAGTCGCAATTAGCTTCATGCTTACGTCTAAGTAAATGGCATGTTCAAACCTGTCCAATAAAAATTTTCTTCGTTTTTTGCAAATTACTTTTTTTCTTTCGAACAAACTAAATTTCGGAAGGACATTTTTGATTGTCTTAAATTTTTCTTTATGAACGTCTTTTTAGTTAAGTTTTCAAACTTAATTTTACTTCCGAGAGTTAAATTTGAGATTTATGAAAAAAACGTTTTTATTAGTTGGATTCTTCAAGAACTTCAAAGTTTGCCAATGCAAAACAAAAGCTTGAAAAATCAATTTTTACACCTTAAGATAGAACAGAAAATGCAACTCCTTTTTAAAGATTTTTTGCTCTAACTTTCAATAAATGTAAAAGAAACAAAATTGCTTAACCATTCCTTTTTTCTTTTCGTTTACTTATACCTCAGTTTACTCTGCATTTCATGTATAGTTTACTCTACATTCTCGTTTTTATCCGCTATTTTTTGTTAAAGGTTTACTTTACGAATTTTACGGACTTTAATCTGGTAATTTTAATTTGCCGGGGCCGGATATGAAATTTAAAAGTTCAGTTATTTTGTTTAAATTAAACAACTGAACGTGATCATGAAAGAATAGTACTCATTATCTGAAAAAAGTAAGTATAACAAAAATATTTAATATTTAATCTTGTGACAAAGAACAACGCAGAAAAACAAAATTCAATGCTGAAATTTAGTGACATTCTACCGCACACAAGACCATTGATATACATTTGATAATTAAGACTTAATTTTAACAATTTATAATTTTAACAACACCTTGCAATTGTTTTATCATGTTGCAATTTTGCAAGATGTATAAAAAATCATATTTCAAATAAAATTGCATTTACAATCAAAGATGAGCGCTGGTAATACAACCGGAAATGCCTTAAATTCATGAGTTGCATTTTTATGTCAATAAGATCCCGTCGTAATTAACAATATCCGTAACCAAAAACTCAATATTTTAAGCCACCGAAGTCAAGCAATAAAAATAACGTAACAAAACTAATTTTTATATACGATCTAACTTAACCTTAAAGAAATAAATACAAAGTAACACTTATGTATGCCTTATTTTTTGAAGATCGCAAAAAAAAATTTATTCTGTTTATTTATTCAAAACATGAAGCTTTTTTATTTTATGTATTTAATTTTAAATCCTAAATAATAACCTGAAAACATGTTTTATTTACATTTCTTGTAGAGCAGAATTTGTTTCCTTAAACGTAAATAGCATTTGTTTAAGTATAAATGCGTAAACAACTAAAAAGTTTTTCTAACAAAAGATCTATTGTTGATAAACAACATAATGGCTACATTTTACAGTTTACGATGTTTACATAAAACTATTAGAAATGTAAAATAATTATTACTATTTAACAATTCCATCACCTTTATTTTGTTTGCTCAGGACTTTTTTTTGTAGAATACACTTTCTTTTAAAAAAGAAAACGTCAATAACCAATTAAAACTTCAATTTTCATCGCGTTACTTTAAAAACATGTAAAATTGCTCTCACCCGTGTAGCCAAATACTTTTAAAAACATTGTATTCAAGTTTTGCGGAAAATGCACGAGGATTTGTTGTTGTTCGCGGTAAAAACTAGAGGGGAGAATGAAGTCTTAATAAATGCATTACCGAAAAAAAATAATCGTATATAAATGTAAATACATATGTATACGAAAATTATATTCAATTTCCAAATGTAATGGTATAAGTTAAGAGTGTTCGCAGTTAAGAAACACTACATTTCTGAAAAAGAAGGCTCTTTTACATAGGTTAGTATTGTAGCAATTTTTTATGAAATGTTAATAAGTCATACTTGTTTAGGTGTTTTGAATATAGTTTTTTACATGGCATTTATTTGTCTAACAGAATGTAAGATAAAAGACTATTAGAAACTTTTAGGTGTGTTTAAAGAGTTTAAAATTGTCTTGAAAGTATACATACTTCCCAAGTAGATATATATGTGTTATATATATATATATATATATATATATATATATATATATATATATATATATATATATATATATATATATATATATATATATATATATATGTATATATATATATAACAATAATATATATATATATATATATATATATATATATATATATATATATATATATATGTATATATATATATATATATATATATATATATATATATGTATAACAATAATACATATACATAATATATATATATATATATATATATATATATATATATATATATATATATATATATATATATATATATATACTAATAATATGTATATATATATATATACATATATATATATATATATATATATATATATATATATATATATATATATATATATATATATATATATATATATATATATATATATATATATATATATATATTATACATACATGTATATATATATATGGTAAATCTGCAGTTAAGCGGTGTAAAATCATTGTTTATTTTTGCTTATTATGCTCTTGTCAGTGTAGGCTTTTTACAAGTAAAGGAATAGTTATTGGCTTCAATACACACATAGACTATCTTATAGCCTGCTGCAACATAGGAGTGCTTCTACATTGACTGAGGGTTTGTCATGGTACAGCAATCTTTTTTCATTCATTTCAATAATTAAAGAAAAAAATTGCTGCCCCATGCCAAAAACTCAAATGATATAGTGGAATTCTCTTGCGGCAGCAGGCTATAAGATAGTCAATGTATGTACTGAATCCAGTAAATGTTCCATTAATGTTTAAAAAGTCTCCACGGAGTAAATGATGCAAATAATATAAGCGAAAAAATATAATTATTTTATGCCACTTAATTGTAGATTTACTACATACACACACAAAAGTCAACCCCCTAATAATATATCAGACCAAGTTGATGCGATGAAGTCACAAATCAACCGCAATTGATTATTATCCAATTCAATTATCAGTTAAATTATAAGCCAGAATGGCATAAATTGCTCTTGAATTCCATCTGGCATTGGGCAACAATGGGAGACTTTTGAAGTTTATAGCTGGAAAGCTGCCATTCACCTTCATGTATCAGTAACTTTTTACCAAGTCGAACAAAAAATCCATGTTGTCTCTCCATTTATTCCTCTTCACTTTACAAATTTGTTCACCTTGCTTGAAGCTTGACTTCAAATTTTCATAATATTTTGGCAGGTTTCCAATAAATTTGTAATGTAATTCTGGCAATTTTGACACTCTTTTGTTAAGAATTTCATTCATAGTATGTTTCAAAATTGTGTCCAACACATGATGCTGACAACTAATAAATTGAAATGGTTCAAGATTTTTCTTTCAAATTCTCTTTGCAGTTGAATTGCAACTCCATTTCAACTCCCAGTATTCACACTTGTAGTATCAGATATTATAACTTTAATACTACTCCATAGTTGAAATTAATCCAACACTTCAACTATTCCATTGTAAATACTAACAGCTTTCCCATCATCTAATTTTAAAATAGCTAGTTTTTTTTTAATTTTTTTTCCTTTTCTGCATTTTTTAAAATCAAGACTTGATATTCTTTCTCTGACTTTCTTTTACCGTCAAAATGCAACACCCAATTCTCATTTTTTAAATTACTTATAATGTGCTTATCTATTTTTTGAGCTGCTGACATTCTAACTCTATAAACCCCAGATTTAGATGGGGCTAGTACATTGACACCACATTCAGATAAATTTTTGCAAACTTCTGCTAATTTCTTAATACTTAGTTTTGACTTCATAACTAAGTTCATATCCACAATGGTCTCTTCTCTTAACTTTTTTGTCTGGTGGGAATATAGTTAGAATCTTGTTCATCATTTTGTTCATTGCCTTCTTTATTGTTGTCATCTCTACTGTATCTGTTTCAGGTATGTTAGGTCTCTTTCTGTCAGCCTTACATGGATGTACTTTAACAGTTTTTGATGTACAATAACTAACTTGACCATTATTATCTACTTGTAAGAAATAAAATCCTTTGTCTTCGTTGCTAAGCCAGTTACCGTTCACTTTAGTTATATCAAATAAATGATCCCACTTTTCTTTTAAGACATTGTTTAGGTATTTGTTAATGAGACATTCCACTTTTTTTGTTACAGATCTTTTATTTATTTTTGGTAAACTAAGCTTGAACCATAAATCAAATAATTCTGCGCAAACTCTTTTACATCTCAAATAAGGTGACTTCTCTAAAATTGATAAGCAAATAAATTGACTAATAACATACTAATAACATAATGAGCTTTGGGCATTTTATTCAAATTATCAAGTGGCTCTAAAACTTTGGCTATGTGAGATCTTGTTGATTTTGATTTATCAAAGTGGACTAGATTTTGAGACCAGGCTTTAATATTATCAGGTTTTTCAGCTATCTGCGAGCTTATTCTTGACATTTCTAAAAATTAAAGTATACGTTAACTATAATTGTAAGTTACATACGAAGTTTAAAATTAAATCTATTTTACATTATAAGCACACATAAATAACTTATTTTAATTATATTAATTGTTGATTTTAGTAAAATCAAAAATATCATCTTGTTCTGAAAATGCTTATTTTGATAAACAATTAAAGATGACACTTGCAGAAGTATTTAGTATTTGATGAATTTATACATAAATTATATATATTACCATTATTTGTATCATGCAAAACAATAAAAAATGTATAAAAAACGTAAAAAGGTTAGCTTTTTAGCTTGTTTAAAAAAAAAAAAAAAATAAAAAAAAAAAAAGTTTCTACGGTTAAAATATACTTTAAGTTTTCTTAAAGTATATTTTGAATAACATAAAATATATAAATTCTGAAAAAAAGGCATGCATTAAACAAACATTTAATCTAAAAAATATATCTGAGTCATTAAGGTTTCAAATATTTGACTCAAAACTAAAAGAGAGTGTTTTTTTCAAGAAATCAGAGAGTGATGCTGCAGATGCAGGAAGAATCATTGTAGGCTTCTTGTTTTCAATGCGACAAGCCATTTTAGTACATACATATTTAAGAATGAAATGACATTGCAAACACTCCTTTAAAGATTTTGCAAGATATTCTTTTACTCAAGAGCATTAAAGTTTGCAACTATAGAACAGTTTCAGAACTTAGTTTTAATTTATTAATTGTTTTTTAAATTACTACTCTGTGCCAAATAAGTATCCCCCCTCCCCACCTATTTAATAGTTTCAAACTTTTATCCTTTCCTAATTAAACTTTTTTTTGGTCTTAAACTTTTCTTTCTTCTCCCCTTCCTTTCCCCCTCCCCTCTATAAAACACATACCCGCTAGCCAAGGGGGTATGTGTTATATATATATATATATATATATATATATATATATATATATATATATATATATATATATATATATATATATATATATATATATATATATGAGCATTTCCATGACACGCGTTAATGCGTTTTTAATCAAGAAAACAAAAGTTTGTGGTATTAAGATTTTTAAAATAAAAAATAAATTTTCTTATAATATTGAAATAGCCTAACTGTATTATAAAAACTAAACTTTTCATAATTTTTTTTATATTTTTACAGATATAGCTCAAAATACGCACATCACAACGTGACATTGATTTGTCACGTGGTGACGCTCTTAAATGTGCAATAACTTGTAAAATAGAAAGTAAAAAATAAATAAAAAATTTTCCTAAAGAACATATATTTTTTTACTAAAATAATATAAATTTTAAATATTTTTTATACACATAGATATTATAAAATAGTATTTCCATGATAAAAGCAAAACATCGAGGCGCGTCGAATTGCTCATATTTGTATATATATATATATATATATATATATATATATATATATATATATATATATATATATATATATATATATGTATATATATATATATATATATATATATATATATATATATATATATATATATATATATATATATATATATATATATATATAAATAAATATATATATATATATATATATATATTAAACAACCGGGGTTAATATTTGACCAGTTAATATTTGCCTGGGTTTGTGACTGGGGCTGCATAAATATCCTAAAGTACTTTTTTTTTTCAAAATTTGTGTTTGATTTTGTATATATATATGCATTTATAAACATCATTATGATCAACAGGATTATCATCATTATAATTGTCATCATCATCATCATCATCATCATCATCATCATCATCATCATCATCATCATCATCATCATCATCATCATCATCAGTATATGGTTCTCTGTTCGTTATTGCAACAAGGTCATCGGCTCACAGGATTTTAGATTATTGCTGTGCCGCTAAGTATTTTAAAAATTTTTTTTCAGTATTACCAATAAGAAAGATCTAAACTTTTTAGATTTGTTATTTTTGAAAAAAAATTTTGAGCAAAAACTTTAAATATAAGAGCCGTTATAAAAAATGCGTTGCATTACCGAATGTATCGAAAAAGAGGGTTTATGCATGGGGATCATAAAAATGACATTCAGGTATGTTTTTTTTATTCATTTTCTTCAAATCAAGCTATAAACTAAATAAATCCACATTTTTAAATTTTGACATTTTTCATATCATACTTGGGTTTTCAAAAAAAAACGTTTAAAAAAATTTTTTTATATACGTTTTTAAGAAAATTTTTTCTGCTGGATATAACATTTACTAAATCGAATGTCTAAAAAGTATAAACTTTGCTTTTGAAACGAAAAAGATTTTTTGGAAATTTGGTTTTAACTGTGAGGTGTTGCATTACTGAAACTACTCAGGTTGCATTACCGAACTTTCTGAATTTCGCTTA